ACTCCATCTAGAAAACAAAAGCATCGACGACACGCCGCCTTCAGGAGCCCGTGGGCTGCTTGAGAGGCGAAGTTCGGGCTGTCCTGGGGCGCCCTGGGGCCGTGCTGGGATCCTCCGAGGCCTTCTCGAGGCCAGCTTCGGCCGCCTTCGAGCGCCACTGTCACACTTGGGCCGCATTGGCACCCTCTTGAGCCAGTTCCTAGAGTCGGAGATGGACAGACCTCCTACCCTGACACGTCGATTAGCGAATTGGCCATTTTCGGTTCGCGAGAGGGCGTCGCGGCCGTCATTTTTGCGGGTCCGGGTCCGTCGGCTTCGGTCCTGGGCCGCTTCCACTAAAGAGAGGTCTACTAAAGGGAGTTTTGTCCACCGCCGATGGAGCGCCGCATGTCTAGGGGACCCAGGGGGAAAACATAGGAACATATAGTAAAAAAACGGGGGAAGTGGGGGGGAAGACAACAACCACGAAAGTACATGAAAAGATTGGGAATCCTGCCGTTTGTGTGTGTGTTTAGTTACGTGTCCTGGGGCCCCTGCAGCCTAGGGGACCCCCAGGGGGGCAGGCGAGAGTTGGCCGCAGGAGGGGCCCGCGGGCTCTCCGTGGCTCGAGCCGCCCCCCTTTTGCGGGCGAGGAGGGGCGCTCCGCGAGGGGAGGGGGGGGGCGTTTTCGCGGTGGGGGCCCCCCCGGGGGGCCCCGCGGCGCACGCACGGGACCTTTTTCGGCGGCGAGCGCGGGGGCGAGGCGAGGAGGGAGGAGGCCCTCGCTGAAGGCGGCGGGATCTCTCGGAAGGAGGTCCCTTTCGGCGGCGCCCGCGCCGAGCGCGGGGGGGGGGCGAGGAGGAGGAGGCCCTCGCAGAAGGCGGCGGGAGCTCTCGGAGGCCCTCGCGCCATCAGAGAGGTTCTCTTAGGGGAACAAGAAGTGGCATAAACATAACAACTCGGAGGTCCGCGCGGATTTCTCGGATCGGCGCGGGGGCCCCCCGGCGCCGCCCATGGCGCGCTCCGCGCGCCAGGTAGAGGAATCCAGCGCCGATCCGAGAAGTCCGCGCGGACCTCCGAGTTTGTACGTTTATGCCACTTTTTGTTCCCCTATTTCTGTGTCTCTCACCACCCACCAAACCACCCCACCTCAACCCGAAGGCTCAGATTAACCCTCGATTTCCAGTGGGGGTGGTCGGGAAACATCGAAAAACCACATGTGGAACCCTTACCCCCCCCAACCCGAAATTCGGGTCTTCGGGTTGGGTTGGGGTGGTCTGGTAGGTAGTCAGTCTCCGGGGAAGGCTCCGAAAGAGCTTCTCAAGAGGCCGGGGGACTCCCGAGCCTTCTGGGGAGGTCCGCCCCCGCTCCCTTCCCCCCCGTGGGCTCGCCGCCGGGTCCTGATCTCGGGATGTGCGTGGCAGGGCTCGGTTCGAATCGCCCAGCCGTAGCTATAGTCGATTCGGTTCGATGTTGATCGATTCTTATCCCGATTCGGTTCGGCCTCGGATTCCGATGTGGGCTTCGGCTTCTCCACGCAGGCTCCGTTCGCCTGCCGGTGGTCCGCCGACCTCGGGTCGCCGATCTGCGCCGATCCGCTTGGTTTCGATCGCCGACCCGACTTCTCGATCTGATGCTGGGCGCTCCTGTCAGAGCCCCGAAACATCAGGGGTGGCTCGGGTCAGGGATAACTCGGGTTCGTTTTTCGGGATTCCGAACCCGAGTTACCCCGGACCCGAGTTACCCCGGGTAGTTCGGGCGTCCAGAGCCCCAAATCATCAGGGGTAACTCAGGTCAGGGCTAGCTCGGGTTCGTTTTTGTGGGGATCCAAACCCGAGTTACCCCGGACCCGAGTTACCCCGGATAGCTCGGGCGCCCAATCCTGCCTGGCGCCAGGATCGGTGCAGCTGCTCGGCGGCACGTCGAGGGCAGGGGTCCTCCTCGTTGCTTCCAGAGGCGGCTCGGAGAGCCCTTTCGAAGGTCGGAGGCCTTCTGGGCAAAGTCGGGCGTGTCCCTCCACGGGGAATGCTCATACATAGGAACAAAAAATATGGGGACGATGTGTGTTTTGAACATGTTTGGACTTTTTTTTGATTGCTCGTCCAAAATCGGCCTGTAAGAGGACATGCCCGACCGAACTCGGAGTACGCCCGCCCCCAACCGAGCGACGCACACGAACGGGCCCGTCTGTGCCGGCAGTGGCGCCTAGGCTGCCCGCGTCACCTTTCGCGCGTGAGCGCCCTCGTCTTCACTGTGGCGTGCCGCGCGGGTGGCCCGCGTGCGCCGCCGCGTAAGGTCGCCGTGCCAGCTCGCGCAAGAATCGGGGGAGCGTAAGACCTGGGTTTGCCAGGACTCGGGTTCGCCATCGTTTTTTGACGACCGCGCCTCGGATTTTGACGAGGAGGAGTTTTGTAGGATGTCTGCAGCGGGAGGCCTCGTCAAAATGCAGGCTCGGCCTCGTCATTTTTTGACGACCTCGTCGGGGATTTCCGAGTCCCCCGTACCCGGGTCTTACGTCTCCCCGAAAGAACCGTTTTTGATCGGCACGCAACGGCTGTTCAGGGAGGCCTGGGATCGGGATACTTCGCTACAGAGCGCCCTGGACCGCTCTCGAATCGTTCCTGCAGCGCCCCCGTAGCGGCCACGGCGCCCGCTGCGTCTTCGACTGCTACGGGGGGTTAGCCTTTTGGGGGTCAGGACAAGGGCTCAATTTCGCTGATGTTCATTCTGGGTCGTATGTCTATCAACAGGGATGCCCTCTTTGCTTTTTCCTGGGCAGTCAGCTGGAAATACTTGGCCCAAGTTAGAAATCCTTTTCAGAAATATGGTTTCCCTCATTTTGCCCTTCGCTGACTCTGGCCCCCAGCAGTCTGACCCCCACTACCGGGCGAAGGAGAGGCCCCTGATTTACCCCGCTCCGACGTTGCCCCGGGCCCGGGTTCGTCTTGGTCTCCCCCTAGAGCGCGCCGCCGAGAACCGTAATGGAGGATGACGATTAATAAATCACCGGGGGTCGTGTTCACGCGGCGGCGCCCAGGATGACGATTAGAAACAACCGGCCGCGGGTTGGAAAACTAGTGTTTTTGTCTTACCGTTCTCCTCCAGGTAAAAAAATTTGTGCAGAGACAGCAGGAAGCTGTTTTCTTAACCGTTCCCCCCCATTTGTTTTATGAATCGTCATCCCGCATTACACTGTTTTTTTTAATCGTTCCCCCCCAGTTGTTTTGTGAACCGTCATCCCGCATTGCACGGTGCACGGCTCTCTCCCTCGCACGGCGGGGGGGGGGGGAAGGAGTTGCCGCGGTCTCCTCGGCTCGAGCAGGCGCACGTTGTTGTGTCGGCGGTCGGCGGCCCGCGGTTCTGGTGCCCACTCCTCAGCGCCATGCCGAGGCCGCGCGGGCTTTGGCACAATTGCGAAGGAGGAGGATGCGGAGAATGGGGGACGAGGAGGAGGAGGAGGAGGAGAAAGGGAACAAGTGAAAGCCCCAGACTCATCAACGATGTTGTCCCAGTCTTTACAGGGGCTCATTTCCACTGAAGTACCCCGTCGGGGGACAACCGTGCGAAAATCCCGAAGCGTGGCAAACCACAACGCCACGAGTTACCCTGACTGTTGCGTCTTGGCGATCCTGAGTCGTGCCAGAAGTGCATTCCTGGGATTTCAACGCCTCGAGTCAACGTCATTGTTACGTCATGACAATCCTGAACCGTTTTGAAACAC